AATTAAGTGCCTTATTGGAGAATGATACTTGGGATATGGTACCTTGTCCTTCTAATGTGTCTATTATTGGTAGCAGGTGGGTCTTTTCTATTAAGCTCAAAATAGACGATAGTATTGAGCGGTATAAAGCAAGACTTGTTGCCCAAGGTTATAAGCAAGAGTATAGAATTGATTATATAGAAACATTTGCACCAGTGGCTAAAATGACTACAGTGAGAGTATTTATTGCTCTTTCGGCAATGCATCAGTGGCCTATTTCTCAAATGGATGTGAAGAATGCTTTTCTACATGGGAATTTGAAAGAAACTGTTTATATGAAGCCTCCTCCAGGTTATTCACATTCTAAATCCATGGTTTGCAAATTAAAGAGATCATTATATGGTCTTAACCAAGCTCCTCGAGCTTGGTTTGAATGCTTCCGTCAAGTTATTGTGGATGCTAGGTATGTTTAGAGTTCTCATGATTATTCCTTGTTCATGCATAACTCTCCGCAAGGTGTTACTCTACTTTTGAATAATGTCGACGATATGCTTATTACTGGTAGTAATAAGGAAGGTATTGCTAAGTTGAAAGAGTTACTTTGTCGTTCTTTTCAGATGAAAGATTTAGGGCCACTGACTTATTTTCTTGGTTTAGAAGTTCACTCATCTTCTCGAGGTTATGCGGTGAATCAACAGAAGTATGTTCTGGATTTGATCCAATTTGCAAATTTATCTAATGATAAATGTGTTGACACTCCAATGGAAGTAAATGTCAAGCTTAGGAAGGAGGATGGTGAAAAACTCTCTAATCCTAGCTTTTATCGTCAACTTGTGGGTCGCCTCCTTTATCTTACTATGACTAGACCTGATATTGCTTATGCTATGCAAGTGGTTAGTCAATTTGTTGCAGATCCTCGGTGGTTACATCTAACAGCTGTTCTTCGCATAATTCGATATCTTCATGGCACTATTTCGAGGGGACTTTTCTTCTCCTCTCATCCTTGTATGCAATTGCAAGCTTATGCAGATGCTTATTGGGCAGGTTGTCCTGATACACGTCGCTCAACCACAGGTTGGTGTGTGTTTCTTAGTGATTCCCTTATTTCTTGGAAATGCAAGAAACAGAAAATAGTGTCCAAATCCACTGCTGAAGCTGAATACCGAGCAATGTCTTCAGCATGTAGTGAATTGACTTGGCTTCGAGGATTTTTACAGACACTTACTTTTCCTACTCCTCCTTCACCTCTTTATGCTGATAATATGAGTGCTATTCGTATTGCATCCAATCCTGTCTTTCATGAGCGTACCAAGTACATTGAAGTGGATTGCCACTTTATACGGAATATGTATCTTGCAGGTGCCATTACTCTTCCTTATATTGCTTCTGAGCATCAAATTGCATATATTTTTACAAAGGCAATGACAACTGCACAACACAAGTTTTTAGTGAGCAAATTGACATTGGTTTCCCAACCTTAGTTTGAGGGGGAGTGTAGGAAATAGGCATATTTTGTAATTTTGTTTTGTATTAAGGGTTTTTATGTAACTTTACATTTTATATAACCTAATATAAATATGCTGTTAAGGGTGAGCAGCTTTGTAAGTTGTTTTGCACCCTCCACTTCCGCCTCACTTTACATAAAATATCATCAGAGATGACAGAAAAACAACCACAATAAATAAACACAAATCAAGGAAAATATTGAGAAATAATCATCTTTTCTTTTATGTTCAAATGTTGAGGATTTTAAGTATTTAAGAATTAAATTGAGGATTTTTTTTTTTTAATGAACAGAAATTGAAACAAATGGAAGGATTTAAGGATCACGTTTAGCTTTGTATGACGAGTTGGCATGCTGCATGTCAACCTGTGATTGGAAATGAGAGAATGATTAATTTTTTCATATAGTCTTACGTATTATTTAATAATTAATTTTTTTTCATATAGTCTTACGTATTATTTAATAATTAATTTTTTTTATTTTATTATAACTAATAATATTATATGCATTTAGGCAGTTAAAAATAATATATGAAAATTGCATAAAAATTATATAATAAGATTATCCTTATATCATTACCTTAAAAAATAGGGTTATATATATATATTTGAGATAGAAAATAATAAGTTATATAATAAGGATAGTTCTCAATTTTTACACTCCTTAAAAAATTTAAGTTTTTAACTACTAATACGTTTTTACAAATAAAGGAAAAAGATCCAATGGAAATGAAAATTAAAAGTAGGAGTGCACATAAAAACAAAGGAAATTCAAAAATCATTACCGTTTGCTTTGCCCCTAAGTACTAAACCAAATGGGGCAGCCTTTAGAAAAAAAAAAAAAAAAAAGTAGCAACTTTGAATGATAGGATGATGATGCGGACAGAACTTCAAGGGATTTCAAAGACTCAAACAACACATTATTTAATCCTTCCAAATTTCAAACCCAGCAGATAATTATTTATGTCTACCATCTTTCACTTTTTTTCATACTTATTATTTTTCATTTGAATTTTAGACATTTAAATACACATGTTAAACATAGCAACCCTAGATCTTCTACACTTCTCTATTCTAAAAAATATCCACTACTTTTTCATCCTTTACTTTGCCCGAGAGTTTAATCATTTTTAATTTTCACTAAAAAATAAAGTTTGCCCATCTAATCTTTACTTTGGGTATATATGCTATTTCGAATTATGTGCATTCTATGAGTTTTTTTTTTCCCTAAATTTCTAGAATTGCAAGAAGGGAGCAGAGGAGGAAGAAAAATTACTTTTAAAATTTCAAATTTCCCAATTTGAGGTTGAGAGATCATTTCTTGGGAATTAGAACTATTAGAATTTAATTCATTTTTTGTGCTTATTTTATTTGCTACTAAATAGCATAATTATTTAATTTTATCCATATTGAGATGTTATTTGGACGGGAGTACAATGGTAAGAATCAATGCTATGCAAGTTGGAACGAGCAAAGGACTCAAGCAACGTTGGCTAAGGTGCATAATTCCAAATCTCCCTACAACCAACGATTGCTTTTGTTTTTGTTTTTGTTTTTTTATTTGTTTGATACTTGTATGTCTATTTTGTACTACATATGGATATAATAATATGTTTAAAGATTATCATTTGTTTATTTTTAAGGTTACATAGACATTAATTAATTAAAAATACTCTTCTACTGTTTGTTTCTCAATTAATAACTCTTTATAGTTTAAATAGAAACTCAATTTTTATTATTATGATAAATATTAATATTTTTCTCTGTTTTGTGTTTAATAATAGATAACAAAATTTCATTGTAATGGTAGAACTTTCCTATCTTTTCTGAACATGTTTAAAATTCTCTTTTCTAAAATCGGAATGCCTTAACTAGTCTACATAAATCTTAGCCACCGGTGACTTATTTATCACGAATTTTGTGTATTTATGGCCAATCTAAAGTCCTTTCAGACCCAAGTGTGAATGAAATAAGAAGATAAATTTCTTGTAGGAAAATTCAA